CAAGGATGGCCTGCCATACACCCATAAGAGCAAACTGTCCTGTTGTGCATGGCAGCTCGTGCGCTGTGTGTTTATGTGCGTATTTGTGCCAACGGAATGTCAATCTGCACAATGACAAGGTGTCAAGTCGACTACAATGTCCTTGGGTAAACCTGTCATTGAGCGCAACAAAGCCACTTGGCAGCAAGCGCCTGTACTCACCCATGTGCACCATATACCAGTATGCGCCCATGAGCAGCACTCAGAATGGCCTGAAGAGGTGCAGTGATGTGCCATACTTTTTGAAAGTAGTGAGTTATGCAGCACAACTGCAAGTCGAGTGTTTTCAGTGCAGTTTTGTGACCGACCCTGAAGATGCCTTCCTTGCCCCATCAGCTGAGTTGTGGCCTTGCAGGTGGCACCATGTCTATCTGCCCCTCATGCCCTCCTCACTCCAAGATTACCTCCAGGCGCCGATGCCTTTCATCATCGGCCTCCCTGCGCAGCTGTTGCATGCTGTGGAGGACCCACAGATGAGCGAGGTCACGCTGGTGGATTTGGATAGGGGCTCGACGGAGCCAGTTCCGGGATCCAGTGGGGACGATGCACATGTGCTGCCATATCGAGAGAGGCTGGAGGGCGCACTGGCAGAGGCCATGTCAGGCCTAAGGTCCCCATACGAATTTGAAGGGAATACTGCGATACATGGTGAGACGTGTGGTCGAGTGGGGAGGTCAAACTGCCTCGATTGCCGACAATCGTTGCAATTCTTGGTGTTTGGGTTTGCCTTCATGCCTTCATGGCATTCCTGGTCATTGCATTTCCAAATGGCTTGCTTTGTTCAACCACTTGTTCACAACTCTGCAATCCTCCTAAGCAGACAGCGTGCAAATGCCAGTCAAGTAGATTGCAGTCAGCAGTGTGTATTGACATGGAACAGAGTGCTGCAGCTGCTACCAGAAGTAGCTGGTGTATGTGCCTGTTGTTCAGTGCACAAGTAATGCAGATGTGTACACTGGATAGTTGTTACTTTACAGGGTGTTTGAGGCAGGAAGTTTGCCTTTATTCCCGCAAAATTAGGGTGAAGATATTTAAGGGCGAGCAGGGATGAACATGCCAGGAGGGAGGGGCAGTGGAACCCCGTAAGCCATATCGTGCGTGCACATACAATGTTCTGGTCATGTTGAAAATGGTTGGCTGTTGCAGTGGCAGCTGCAAGGTGCTTGCAACACAACTAGCCCATTCCTTGCTGCATTTCGACACATTGCATCTTAGGCTTTGTGTAACACATTGTACTCGTTTGTTCCAGGTGTCATAACAGACTTTTTTGTGAAGCTCTTCAAGAATTACAGGCGTTTTATCAGTAAGCGATCAACTGGCAGTAATGGCTTTGGCGGCAATGGTATTGGCAGCAATGGCAGTGCAGGCAAGCTTGCACGCAGCCGGGGACCTGCTGAAGATGAGGACAATGGGCTGTTTGGCTATGGCTACTATTTTGATTACGTGTCATTTGTGGCATCCCACAGGTGAGGGGTAATGTACGGCTGCAGGGTTAATTAATGTTCTCTGTGAACTTTGGCAATTGGGCTGCAAGCTGAGTGTTTTTTGCTGCTGCAGCAGCTTCGTAGAATATTCGTGCTTCACAGGAGGGTTGCTGAACAGTTGGTGTGTTTGGTGCTGCGATCTGATTGGCCTTTGAGCCTGGCAGCTCTGTGGGGTTGTTGCAACCAATAAATTTGGATATTTTTTGATGTTTGGATCAATGAAGCTACTCCAGACAGTGATGTAGGCTATGTAGCAATCTTAGTAGTGCTTGCTGAAGAGAATCCAACCAGCTGATTCAACAAGGATGAAGATCACAACTCCTCAGGCTAAACTGTTGAAAGGAGCACACAAATAGGAAGTGGAAAGAATGTCAGTTGGTGCACAACAGCCGGTGTCCCTGCTTGGGCTGTGCAGCATAGGAGCCCACACTTGGGCAGCCAGGTCTGTGTGTTGGTTCCAACACATCAGTGCAGAGGATTTCCGTTTCTCTGGTTCCTGGGGTAGTGCCTATATTTGCACTTGCAAGCTGAGGACATCGGTACAGAAGTACAGGGCCGCGACTTGGCTTCCAGTTGAGCTGCCTTCTGTTCACCAAATATTCCAGAAGATTCTAATCTGTATATCTGTTTATGTGCACACTGCCTTCGTGACTTTACCACAGACATGTGCAACACATGGAAGATTGGTATTGTCCCAAATACAAGGCCCAGTGTCTTCCACAGCAATAGGCAATGTGTTGAAGAATTTGTTCAAAATGTGGACTCAAGCCACATAATGGGTACAGTGGTGTTCCACCTTATACACCAGCACGAGTGATATAGTGTGACTGACAAGGTGCACACTGTGCCTCTTGTCAGGAGAAATGAACAGGCCCGGCAATTTCTTACACTCTTTCGCCACAGCCAGATGTTTGAGATGTTCGTTCAAGAGCGGCTGCAGATGGCATCGAAGGGACATTTCCCCTCAGACGATGCGTTTGAATACAAAATCAATCTGCTGGAAGAGCAGGGCGCAAGACGAAAGCTGGGTCTGAAGCCAGCTGTGAAGAGCTTGTCCCGGAGGATTGCCTCAAGGAAGCACCTCAACGTTTCAGGAACATTCATACACAGGAACCCCACTATGGTGGGTACAGCTGAGAAACATGTACCATCGTGTTGTCATTGATACCACACACCTGCACACAGCCACAGTTCTGTTGTGCACATTGTTGCACACTATCATGTTCCAGATGCTACATCATGTTAAGAGCCAGGTTCCACCCCTGGCCTAAGAGAAGAGATGTGGGGTCGATGCCACCTTGCAAGAAAGTGCAAGTAGATGTATGGCACAATAGCTTGATAAGGTCGGGTGCTTGAGTGCTGCATGGCGGTAATGGTATGCTTGTCGATTGGCTGCTCAGTCATGTCTGTTTTGCTTGTCATGCGCTGTTCATATGTAAACAGAAATGCCCAAGTTGGAACACCACTGCGTTGTTTGCAGCATCTGTTGGGCAGAATTGGTCGTCATCAGAAATATATGTGCACGTTCACTGGGCAAGCGCACCATGGAGCAATATTCTCACAACATAACCAGAATGTGGATGGCATATTCCAACTGAACGACCCAGGACTGGCTTGGCAAGAGGTTTTGTGCAGGATTTGAGGTGCAGGGTTCCCTGCGCTTTAGTGTCAACTAACAGCTCGCAGCGGACATTACCCCTTGAGAATAACAGTGTGTACCATTCAACAGGATTGCTTCCTGTTGTGACACACCTTTCTTCTGTGGTTGTGCACCGAGTAAAGGGAGCATTCTGCCATGGAGGTCACTGCTGTGGCTCTGCAAATCCAGGTCCTCTGCAACTGCCCCCACTCCCTGCTGGTCTGCTTTGCCAGCCTGGTCAAACGATGCTTAGAATTAGTAATAATCCCAAGCTACCCTTGCTGGAAGGACGAGTATGTTTGTGGTTCACTGTGGCGTTATCGTGCATTTGCAATCTAAAATGCAGGTGCACAGTGAGCTTGTCACGCAGCATTCTGTGTTACTGATAAGACGCACAGTCCTGGTTTGTGCAGTGCCCGATTTTCTCTAGGATTCTGGACACCTCAGATAACTTGAACACTTTGGGCTTCTTGAAATCCCCAGACACTGTAGCATTGGCACCCAAAATCGAATGACAGGTACAGGGCATTGCTATGTCATGTTGTTTGACATGCACAAGCAGTAATTACTTTTGTTGTTGTATTTTGCAGCTGAAGAAAGACACCTATAGCACTGGCTTCAGGCTTCAGCTTGGGACAGTGCAGCAGTGTCCATAGTGCTGCCTTGCTATTTAGATGCAGTTCGTGAATGGCGTTGTGCTGACACATGTTCTCTGCTTTCTTGCACAGCTGAGTGACATGGCACCTGCAGCACTGAAGAAGGCCATTTCACGTGCCTCCAGCCCTGATTCGCATCTGGGCGGACGCAGTCCGCTGGCGTCTGGTCAGAGCAAATCGGAGCCGCAGAGTCCTGGATTGGCTAACAAGTCGGGCCCCACACGTGTGTACGCACACCGCAAATCCCTTTCCACTGACAGCGACCTGCATGCTGTCCGCAGTGGAGCATCGTTTGCATCAAGGGAAGACTCAAATTCAGGGTTGGAGGGAAACCGATCTTTCGATTTGTCACACAGTGGCATGCACAGGTTGGGGAGTGCACCATCGATTGGCGATCTGATCCATTTCAGCTACAGTGATGACTCAGACGTCGATGGGCCTCATCCATCGGCGCAACAACCTGCGACTGAACCAGCAACAGCCGAGATTGCAGTCACAAGCACCAACAAGAAGATGGCCTCGAATGCAGAGGATGCAATCAGCGTTTTGTCTGCAGCCCTACAGAATTCCCTGCCTGGGGGTGCAGATGCGGCGGACGAGAAGTCGACAGGGTCAACGTGGTCAAGGGTGAACAGCTTGAGAGGGTGGGCCAGTAATGACCAAGTCCCAGGGGATGGGGTGGCGAGCGCTGGTACACCGCCCCAGGTAAGCTCCTGTTCACCAATAGTAGCAGGAGCCACACAGACAAGGACATCCACTGGAGGGTGGGTGGACTTTTCGACGCCAGGGCCGTCCAGGCTTCCAAACCCGATGGTAGACACCACGCCTGTGCCGTTCAACCGCATGGCCCAGACAGGTTACACTCCAGGGTGGGGCAGTACTTTTGCTCAGCCATCCACGAGTGCTCACAGTATGGTGCTGCCGGCCTGGCCAAGCTGCTCGCCTCCACCACGGGGATACACCCTCGCAAGCGGCAGTGCAGGGGTGTGGGAGCGGCAAATGGGGGCATTGGCCAGTGGGAGCATCTCCCCGCCACAGAGGACCACTGCACACAGCTTCAGCCGTTCGTGTGTGCTGCCAGATGAGCTGACCGTGTCGCCTGGCAGTGGGAGTTACGAAGATGATGGGGAGGGCGGGCTGAAACAGACGATGCGGGCTAGGTCCAGCAAGATGCTTGCCCACATGGTTGATGCCAACCTGAGATCTTTCGATCAGCTTGGCCAGGGCCTATGGCGGCCAGGGGTGCCCTCGGAGGGCCCGGCACCGGTCCCCACCAGCGCGATGCGGCCTGGGTCGCCATGAACTGTGTTGCCTCTGGCTTGTTAATTCTTTTGCAAGGGATTCTTTTGTGGGCCTACGGATCTGTACCAGTGGCCATTGATGCGCTTTTTTGCTCTTGACGATTGTGGTTGGTTGAGGGCTGGAGCAGGATGATGTGTTGTTGGTGGCTGGATGGGGTGGGTGGGCTGCAGGGGTATGTGTGGGACAGGAGGGGCATGTAGCATGCAGGATGAGTGTTTGGCTTGTGTGCCTATGTAGTCCATTGCAGAGAGGGTGTAGAAGTAGTCAGACATGGAAATGGGGAAGGCGTCCATCGCCATGTTGCTTTCATGGCTGGGGTTTGTGCTGTGCGGGTGTTCCTGGGACGCGGCTTGGTAGGAGTCGAGCTGTGGGAAGAGCTTGGAACAGGAATGCTGCAGGCAGGGATTGTGCACAGGGATCAGTTTGACCCCCAAGGGCATGCCGCACCCCAGACTCTGGGTGGCCTCTTTCGAGGTGCTTGGGGTTGGGGTTGGTGTGGGGGGCGGTGGGGGGGCTGCAGCGTGTTTCGGGGATGCGCTATCAGCCTCATGCGCTCTTCGTTTGGCAGGTACGCAGGTTTAGAATTGCAATGCGTAGTCCTTCGGTTGGGCAGGTGGCCCTTGCACCCGACCCTGCCTTGTTTATTGTAACCGCAACGCATCTTTCTCTGCTTGCTGCCCAGGCAATCTCGTGATTCAGAATTCGCCTGGCCTGGTGTGCTGCTCAACGACAGCAAAATGAAGCCGTTGCGAGCACAGTTGCATTCGCTGGGAAAGCAGCAGTGCCAGTGGATGCTGACCGTGACGACGGTACTTCCACGTCCAATGTTTCTGTTTTGCTATTGTGTGCGGCACTGTTCTTGTGACGCTGCGCTGGGGACAATAGTCTCTGTGCAACTGGACGCATCGGCGGGTGCTTGCCCATCCAGCACATTCCCCCGCTATTGAGCGAATATCAGCACGGGAGCACAATATCATATAGGTTGATGATGTGGATGGGTTGGGTTGTCCGATTCCGTAGTGTGAAGTCCCAATCCGGCGGTTTGGGTACGTCGCGGATGGCGTCCGCTGCGACTACGACCACATTGAACTCAACATCTCCCTGGCCGCAAGTGCACCACGGCCCTTGTGCATGGTTCTTGGGCTGGCAGGAACCCCCTTCCCTGGACGCGTTTCGTTCCAGGTGTCGCTGGAAGACATTGTTTGATGCACCCTCCTGCATGGCCACAGCTGTTCGTGTAGAATGACGCTCAAGCGGAGGTGGCTGGCAGAGGTTTCCCTTGCCGTGCCAGGGCGTGTGACTGCTGTCCTCGCCTCTGCCTTGTTCCAGGACTGGAGGTTGCCAACGGGGCAATGAAGGTTGAGCCGTCTCTGGAGTCCCTGGGCCTCTTGGCCTTTGTGATTTGTGTTTGATGTTACACCAATGTGCATCTGTTCGCGCGCGAGGTGGGTGCGCCAGGCGGTCACTGCATAACAAGAGCAGGGGATTAGGAAGACAGGAGGTCCTTGCCAAGTATTGAAAGCACACCAGCGAAGGAATTTGCCGTCAACCACTATTTGCCGATCAATCATTGCATCAGGAGAATTGAGAATGGCAAATCCGCTGTGCTTTGCATCAGTAGTTCAAGGCGCATAGTCAATTGCTGACTCAACACTGCGACTCGTGTAGCGCACATCTAATCTCTCCCAAGAGAATCGCGTGAGAGTTCATGCAACCTTTCTTGTTGCAGAAACCTTGTTCCCTCGCATCGCCTTCAACGATCCGTCAGGAATTCCCTCTTCCACAGCTCAGGTGATGGGAAGCGAGGTGTCAAGACCCACATTTCGCCGGTTTTGGTACGTCATAGCCTCAAGTTGCCACGGTATGGGGTCAATATTGCCCGTTTCAGAGCCACCTTGTGATTTGCACAGTGTGTTTGTCAGACATGCCTCTTAGGCGGCGCCCCAGGATGCGAATAAGGAACGAGTGCTTCTGTGTCTGTTAAATATTCGAAGGTGTCTCTGGCTCCAGTGTTCAATGCTTTGTGCCATCCGTCAATCCATCCGGAACAAGAGAGCAGCTCGGCGGCGTTTGTCCCTTCTGCACTGTATTGTTCAGGAGGCACAACGCTGCCAATTCGCCAACACGGGAATGAGGGATTGGAAACGACGTACGACATGGTGTGTCAAAAATGCCCCAGCGGCCCTCCATGTCAATTAGTCTGTGCGTCAACCAGCATTGCGCCCCATGCTCATAAAGAACTAACCCCGTAGTCGGGATTGACCGAATGACTTATTATCACCTTATGACATCTTTCTCCCACTCCAAACCGAGGGTGTTTGGATTCGCAACGCCAAGGTCGCAAAATCTACCCAAAGTGCAAGATGACTTCCTTGATGCACAGGCCTCACAACTTTCGCTTCATTTAAAACAAAATCGTAAGAGAAAGTGCCCTCATTCCTGTGGCTTCGTATCTGGCTCCCATCCCAGACACGAAACTGCCACCTCTGCAACCTCCCTGTGCCCGCCAATCGACCTCCCAAGTTGTGTGTGCTGGCAATGGCTATCTCCCCTGTTGCATCAAGTTCGCAACTTCCAAGTACCATATGCTGACAACTTCAGCTTTCCCTTGCTGCCTGTTCTTATTAGAAGGCAGTACCAATGTGCAGGCATCCCTCCTCCTTGTGTCTACGAAGGGTGATGAAGCATGATTCCATATGATCCACCACCAAACTTCTCGCGTGGGGAAGCTAACTGGAGCTAACTACTCCTTGCTTTGCCACCAAACAAGAACCAGTTGAAGGGGTTGAGTCTTTGGCGCGCATGTGCAGCCTCCATTTTGGCTGCATGTAATCGAACACCCAGTGCCTGGTTGCAGGAAGAGGACAGCCAATATTTCAGTCTCCCAGCCCTTCATGGTCAGAGTGAGCATGCTCAGATAATAGCTGTGTCACCCTCTCACGAACTTGGGAAGTTTCATTTGATCTGCCACAGCGTGCTGCTGGGTTTCGAACACTCAGGCTCACCAGAGATGCTTTTCACACCAGCATCGTGCAACAGATGCAAGGTGGATGATTCTGCCATGCTTCTTGGAACTGTATTGAATACGGATTATTGAGAGATGCCTTTTGTGACATGGTGCGTTTTCTTGTCCAAAAATTGAGAGGACCAGAAAAAGAGGCCAGTAGGTCAAGCGCCACAGTGTAAGCTGGCCTTCAATGCCCAAGTTTAGAGCTGCAGGCACAGTAGCCCTCGGCATCTTGCACGTGCACGTTCTGGCATATACGCCATTTTGTGCCTTGAGTGCTATGCTTTTCGCACTAAGAGATTTGTGCATTATCTCGCAAGTGTTGGAGGCGGTTTCACAACATTCATGCTCAGGATATGGGGTAGACACGTTGCCATTTTCTGTTCAACGGGAGAATTCACCTTCACATCTTCAACAGTTTGGGCTTCGTTTCGCCTGAGCGCCTCCATTCCCTTCACGGCGGCTGTGATCTTCTCTTGCACGTCTGCAAACCCCCTCTTCTTCTCCTTCAGGCGATCTTTCATTTCCTGCAGCTGCTTCGTCGTGGACAGTATGCGTTGCTGCAGCGCCTCTTGCTCCTGAAACCGAAACAGAACTGGCTTTGAGGGAGGTTCAATTCAACCGGCGAGCTCTACACCTCGCCCTGTGCGCAGCCGAGCGCATGCGTATCGATTCTGGCACTGCCAGGATCCAGTGCAAACATCGCCACTGTGAATACAGAAACATGACATCCGATGGGCATATCTAGAAACGAGAGCTTTACGTGACTCTCCCAGCCCGGACAAGGCGAACTGAAAGCGCATGAGGAACCAGCCCTCAGACAGTTATGACCCTGTGGCGCTTCCATTCAGAAATCCCTGACCAACACGAGTGAGAACACAGACCGCAGGAACCCTCGCGATCACATTCCTGCGAGTGGGTACCACCGCGCCCATTCAGGGATCCAACGGGCCCGCTCTCTCCAACTTTCCGCGGCACCACAAGGCCTGTCAAGTCGACAGCGTCTCCCAAAGCATCTTCCCAAGATCCTCAATCGCGCAACGCGCAACGGGCCACGCCCACTCCCCCTGTCCCATCCCCACCGAATAACGCCCCACTACACCCACCACGGCCCCCTGCCGATCCCCACCTTCAGCCCCTCGGCTCCCCGCCTCTCCAGCTCCGCGAGCCGCTCCCCCTCCGCCCCGATCTTCCTGCGCATCCCAGCCCTCGACGACTCCTTGCTCCTGACTTCATCGGCCAGCGCTGCGCAAGCGCTCTCCACGGACCACACCTCCAAATACACCTGCGCACCGCCCACCCGCCTTTCCAACCGGCCACACACACACCCACACACATCAACATACATGAACGACGACACCGCCCCACACACATGAACATTGCTCGACAACTCGGTGGGGGCTCCTGACCTCATCGGCCAACGCAGCGCACGTGCTCCCCACAGACAACACGTCCAGATAAGCCCGCGCACCGCCCGGACGCCGTTCCAACGGTCCACACACTCCTCCACGTACATGAACATACATGAACAACAACACTTCTCCAGACATGAACATCGCTCGACGACTCTAGGAGGGAAGTGGGAAGCTGGTAAGGCGCTGGAGATTGCGAGAGGGATGCGCGAGCGCACCTTGCCGTAGACGGTGCCCGCCGCGAGGGCCAGGCCTCCCGCCGCGTATTGCAGGGTCCTCGAGGACGCCATGGCGGAGGAGAGGCGCGTCGTCGCGTCGGATGGGGGCGTCCGTGGTCCAGGGAGCCCAACGATCGGGACAATACATTGCCGCCGCCGCCTTTGGCCACAGCCGCGGCCTCCTTCCAAGCAGCCACTAAAAGGACAACACTGCCGCTGGGGTAGTTTGGCCTTTGGGGCTTGGGCTGCGCTAACTTGCGGAACAACTGCCTGGAATTGTTTCAGGCCAAGGGGCAGCAGCGCCAAGTGGATGCCAACAGAGGTTGGCTAAGCCGGGTACCTCCGATGGGATGCCCCACTGCTCTACCAAACCGCCTGGCCGAGGCCAAGGAAGAGGCCCTTCTCCTTGCCCTCGGCCAGGTGGCTTGGTAGAGCAGTGGGACATCTGTGGGACATCATCTGGGACCGCCCCGGGTAGTCAATTCCCCTAAGCACCAATCCACCCAACAATGGGGCGACAGCTTGCATGCATATTTGTATGCAGTATGCAGAAGATACTTGAGTGATGTATGCAGATGATACTTGAATACAGTATGCAGACGATGCGGAAACGCATTTGTGCACGGGCAGCCGAGAATGTGATCATCGTCTCCGTGGGGAGCAAAGCACAGGGTGGAAGACGACAAAACGTTCATAGGCGGCACACGTCAGACACGAAACCACAACAACTTCGCGTGGCGAATCGCTGATTGCTTGTTACATTCCCTGGAAAACTGTAGCTTAACGAGCCTGGTCAGCTTGACCTTCACCAATGCGTCGCTTAGTGCCGCTTGATTGAAATCGGTTTGGTTGCATAACGCTGTTTACGTCACTGATGCATATCAATCCACTCCGTACAGTAACGTAGCACTGGGCGTTGATGTGCTGAGAACCGATACCTCCTTTAGCGTGGCTCCGTGAGTCCAATTCCTTGATTGTCCTTGACACAGACAGAACAAGGTGTTTGCGGATAGACAAACATTCTTGGCGTGGATGCGGAGGAGCTTTTAACAAACAATGCTTTGTGCATACCAATATACTCACTGGACCCTGTATTCACATGTGCACAGAGGTATGTGTGTATACGTACTCCCCATCGCCAAGTGAATTCGATAAAGCACGTGTGCAGAAAAGACATTTCAGGAAAATAGGTGCATAGGGTGTGTGGTGTCCGCTGCGGCAATATGCTCTAAGCTAAGATAGTATACATACTACACTATGATGAAAACCATTTGCAATTGATATATCTTGCAAGTGATTTCCATCATGCTGGCATGATGAAGATATGGAGGAATATTACTATGGATAAATGCCCCCCATAGTGTCATTGTTCGAATTGCCCCCCAGCTGGGCATATTTAGTATGCCTTGAAATTTTGTGGTTCAGTCTATTCGTAGCGATCGGCTGGCCAGCTCACCCATGGATGAGCGTCCAATAGCTGTGATGAGTACTCGGATTGCTCGTTGGCATGATGTTGATGGGACACTATGTGTTGTTGTGCGATATTGTGTTTTGCAATAGATTTATTACAAACTAATTGGGCCTTAAAGGAATCGTGAGTGTTAAGGGCCGCCGTTCTGGCCCCGTGCGCACGGAACGTATGCGGCGGCCGACATGTCCCAGTGCGTCCTCGGGAGGGTTTCAAGTCCCTGAGCACCCCGTGCCGGCGTAACGTTCATCATATGGAAGGTACCATGTATGCGAATCATTATGGCTGTTCATAAGGATGCCTGGCTCGTGGCTGTTTCCCCTGCTTTTCGTCAACCTGCTACGTAGCTATACTGGCCCAAGGCCTCAGCACGCCTTTTCGTTATCCGGAGAGCGTATTGACAGCCTTAGAGCTTGTGCATTGTGTTGCCGCATCAGCGCCAAGCTTGGCTCCAATGCTTAAGCTCGCCTTTTGCTGTGTACTGTAATTCACTTAACTTCTGTGTCAATTCATTCTTCCAGAGTTGTCGCACATTCTACCTCTATGTTGAATAAATTCTGTCCCACTAGCTAGTGGGACATCCACTACACTGGATAGAAATGCCTTGTTGGGTAATAATGCTATTACCCAACAGGGCATTTCTATGTTATGCACCGCCCGGCACGGGCTCCCATCACAGGTTGGGGACAGAAGCTGTGCTGAAGTATCACGTGTAGGAATAGGCATTGGTGACCGAATGCGGACTCCGACCAAAAAATTATGTAAGCCACAGCTTCGTAGGGGGCTGCGTGTCACTAGGAAAAAAGGGCCAAATAACACGTGTTCAAACGTGTACAAAGTTTACGGGTTTGGGCCAATTTTTGTGCTCTTAGCGTGCAGAACTTTGATGAAATGTGTTTTATGTGTGCTCGCCAAAGTGTTATTTGATCCTCTTTTTGCTAGTGTGTGCAGCTACTTGCAAGTGATCGGTCAACAACTACTGGTGCGCTCGGACCAAGAGATGGAATGGGGTTGCTGCACTTTCTATAAAGTCAAACGGATCTGTTCGACTGCATTGGAGCGACTTGAACGACGCCGCCTTCGTTTGGACTCATCCGACAATGTCCGCGCCCACAATTGTGCTGTTCCAATGTTGTTCCTCTGCCCGCTTGCCATCGAACACCCCAGATCTTGATTGGTCTGGATGCTGTGTCGTAGGGGACTACGTTTGGCGCATTGACAGGTTGCTTAACGTATTGATGTGCAGGCAATGCAGTACGTTTTCATCGGGAATTTGCGTGAAGGCTGCATCGCGTTTGGCGCGAATGTCAGTACCCCGCAGCTCCTTCCCCATCCTGCCACCCTTTCAGGCGCATGACGGCTTTCCATGATCTCGAAAACAGCACGCACCAAGGGACAGGATTTCCGGCCCCATGGTTTCCAGACACTGGAAGTTCCGGCTCCGCACTGTGCGAGGCACAGCGTCACAACCGACCAGAGACCGCGAGCATCCTGAAGGCATCTGCGCCATAATGCAACCAACTGCGGCGAGGCGCTGATGTCCGAACCAGCCGCGAAGAGAGTGGGACACGTGCGCATACAGCGGCCCTGCCGATACCTCGCTGTTGGGACGGATAGCGTCCACCCACGGTTTTGTGACAGGCCCCTGGGAGCAGGGAATGCACCGGACGTGGCCAATCAATTCACAGCGCTCTGCTCCCGGACATTTCCGGCATCACGCAGGGGGCGTGCCCGAGGGCCTGCCGGCCACTCTTCTCCCCTTTTGGCATCGGCCTCTCCGGAGCGCCTTAAAATACTGCCGGTTCGAGTTCCCGGTCGAATTCCTCCCGTACCTCGATGCTCGTACCACCCGTCAGCGGTGCTTACGGCGGGGCGCAGCAAACTGCGACCCCCGACAGTCCGCCGACAGTTCTCGATCGTCCTGGCCCGATCCGAATCCGCTGTACGGTCTGACACACATCACCCACACTTCTTCCTCGCTGCATCCATTACCCACGCCACCGGCCTGCCCAAGGCCTGTGCGGTACGCCCCCACCCCACCCACTCGTTGGAACCCACCACCACAGCTCCACGCAGTCTGCTGCTGGATCGACCGACGGAAGAAGGCACCGCAGGCGCCGGAAGGACGCCCCAGGGAGCTGCATCGAAGCCGCGCGGAGGCCGACGCACGTCCATTACTCTTGGCAGCGCTGTCGATGCATAGCTAGTGAGTGAGCGCTCGACATGCGGGGAGCGTTCATCGGCATTACGCAAGGCCATGGTCGCAGCGCGTTGCGCTCTCGGACTCCCTTTTTGCCTCCTGTCACCTCAGGGGTGGGAACTGCGTCCGACTGGGCCCACGGACGTCGCCAGAATGCGCCGGGCCTTAGTGCCGTCCGCCAGCAACGCCAGAAAAGGGGCCGTCCGTCCAGTCTGGCGCGGGCACCTGTGGGTGGGGAGGGGCTGCGCTGTGCCCGGGAGGCATATAAGAGCGCTGTCGGTGCGGGCCCGTCGGGTACCCAACCGCCCCGAACATCGCGCATCGTTTCGGATGCAGCGACCCCCGCGCTCAGCGACGAGCCGCGCTTCCCAAGCGGACATCCTGCTGGAGCGAGCATGCGTTCGGCGGCTGCTGCCGAGGCGCCCCCGACGCGCCTGGGCGCGTACGGCGCCGACGGGTGCCTGGCCGTGCCGGGGGGCCCGCCGCAAGACCTGTGGCAGAGGAGGTGGTGAGGGCGAAGACAATTGCAATCCGAGGGTCCGGCGCACTGCGACGCGGAACTTGGATGGATTCAATTCTTATACGCAGTGCGGGCGGAGGCGATGCGGGCGTGGGCGAGTCAGCGGCGGGCGTGAGAATCGCGGATGGCTCCGATTGGGGGACCGTCAGCGGGTTGTCGGGCGGGGATCGGCGTCGATGCCCGCTTGGCTGAGTTTTTCAGCACGAGTGCCGCGTTCCGCCTCGGCGCGACGGGAGTGTGCGGCGTGCTGTGACGACACCGTCGCGGGCGCCTTCCGACACGGGGCGCCAGCCCGTCGCCGACATCCAACGGGGGTACTGGCTGCTGCGCGGATCGCGACGCCTGGCGATGCCTCCCGGCGGCCAGCGCGCCTCGCGCGAGTGTGGGGATCCGATCGGGGCGCGTCCTGAGCCGCTGTCCTCTCGTGGCGTTGTTCGCGGCGGCGCCGCGCGGCGCCACCCCCCTCGGTTGTATCTGTATTGTATGCAAAGGGCCGGAGGTGTGTGATCCCCGCATGGATGAGTCAGCCGATCGATCGCGCCGTGGCGAAGGATAAAACGGGGGGGGATAGGGCCGAAAGTGACGAGCCGACTGGCCACGTGGCCGGAGGTACAGAAAGTACTGCCTTCTGATTGACACGGCACCCGCCCCATCCCCCTTCACGCCATGGGCGCCGAGGACAGCGCGGATGTACCGGAGCGGGGCTGTCCCAGCCGGGGCCCCTATTCCTAACAGAAGCGACGGTCAGGACCTAACCACGGCCCCACAATGAGGCGTGCGCCAAGGGGCGCGGTCCCCTACATAAGGCCCCTTCCCGATATTGTGGGTACGGTCGCGGCTACGTGATTCCGTCTATCCGAGAGAATCTCGTCCCCGCCTCCCCTCTGCACTGCGCCGGGGCCATGACTCACGCTCCCCCGTCTCACCACCAGCTGCTGAAACGCCCCCAAAGTCTTGGGATCCGCCTCGACGCGAGCCCCCACCCCCCCTTAAGGCGCCGGGCCCATTGGCTACCCCCCACTGCCCCAGGGTCCCACGGGCGCCCCCCGTGATCGAAACCGGCAGGCGCGCGCCTCGGGCCGTCGGACGGAAACCATGGCGGTGAGTGCGGTTGGCAGCAGAGCAGGCCGCGATGCCCCCACGCTAGGCGCTGATCGGCGCTCCCCGCAATGACTGGCCGCTTGCCGCGCGGGCTCACCGAGGGCCGCCCGCGCCGCGCCCCACCCGTCCTCCACCCCGGCTGGCGAGCAATCCCTCGCCTTGTGCTCAGATAAAGCCCCCCGCCAGGCCTCTGTGTCCTCCCCCACCCAGAGCCTCGCCTGTTGTGCCTCCCGCCGCTGCGACTGGCCCCGACCGCTCCCGATTCTCGCCGCGGCCATCGTGTTCCTCTCCGGCTCCACGGCGCAGCCCCTCGCCGCCGCGCCTGGCCGCTCTGAGCTGGAGTCGCGCGACCCGGTGGTCCCATGCCCACTCGCGGCGCCGGCGCTGTCGTTGCTGCGGCATGTCGATTCGCTCTGCGTCGGGTAGCCGCCGGGAGCCTTCAGCGGATGAGCCCCCGGCGGGCGTCCTCAGCCCGCTGCCTCCTGATTGACGGGAATCACGAGGCGGTGGTCAATCGGTGGCGCGGCGCGACTCGCCTCACGCCGCGCCGAACGGCGTGGATTAGCGAACAGGCTTGGTCGGTGGTCGGCGGGCGCCAATCGGGGAGAGGGCGCGATCGGCCGCGGCTCCGCGTGGACGCGATGTGGTTCGGAGCGGACTTCGCCGGGATGCGCTTGCCCGCGGTTTTTCGCGCCCGTCCGTGTATTGCCGGGCGTGTACGCTGGTGGCGCGATCGGCCCAGGTCGGTACAATCAGACTTTTCCCTCCCGCCGGCTGTTTGGTTGGCGAGGCTGCGGCGCCGATCGTCTCTCCCCCTGGCTGTCCCCAGATGAGTCTACCGTGCGCCCCCGCGACCCCCGACACGTGCGGTGGTGCCGTCGGGTTCGCGGGGGCAGGCCACGTGAGCCCTGGGCTGCGGGCCAGGCCATCAAGCGGATGGGCGACATCATCGTCGGCCCAAGGGGGCATCGCGTAAACGAGGGCCGGGGCGCCTCATCTGCAAGGGTCAAAATCCACCAATGTGGATTTGGGCCAGGGGGCCTCGCTTGATAGACTGCGCCCACGCGGGCATCGTTTGCTCTCGCCCAAGCCGTTTTTGGGGGCGCGGCGCCAGCGGTCCCGTTCGAGAATCGGCCCATGGACCCCTTTGGACGACCGGGGCCGCCCGGGCGCCCGCCGGTGTGCATGCCTTTGCGTCCCCGTCCGGATTTTCCGAGCCTCTGCTCTAAACACCTGTCCGCCCTGCCCGCAGGCTGAGCATGGTCAATGCTGCCGACGGGCCACTGCCCTTTGAGCCGCACGCCGCGCGTCGCCTGCCCAGGCAGCCCGGGGGCTCCTGCTTCTCCATCGACGTCAACTACCTGGGCCGGGACTCCGTGGAGCCCACCCCGAGGCTGGGCATGGCGATGTCCCAGGGCCTCAGCAACCCGGGTCTGAGCCCTCGCGGTGCGCTGGCCTCCCAGGGCAGCGATGAGGGCTACGTGGCCCAGCCCCAGTCGCAGGGCGTGGCACTGGGCGAGTGGCTGGCGCAGAGGATTGGCAGCGATTCCCCAAACTCACCATACTCCCCCCGCGCCGGTCTGCGGACCATCAACGTCCAGCGGCGCGCGGGCACGTCGGAATCCCCCAGGATGCCCGCCGCGGGCGGCTCCACGCCCATGGCGGACTCCATCCGGGTGGTGCAGGACTGGCAGGAGCGGCTCGCACGGGATGCCTCCGGGTCCTTGGGGCCCGGCCGGCGGGCCAGCGACGTCTCGGACGTGGACGTCTTCGACGAGGCCGGCGGCCTGAAGCGCATGTCCGTGGTCGACCAGTGGTCCAGCGACGAGGAGGACGCTGCGCACGGCAGGCCCAATCGGGGGGACACTCGCGGATCGGGCGGCGGCAGGGGGCGATCGGGCAGAGGGGCCAGGCGGCTGGAGAATGATCCCAGGGCCGCGCCTCCGTCCCCGCTGGCCCGCCAGCAGACGCGATCCGGTGCGGCCAACAGGCTGAATTTCGACAGTAAGGTGATGGAGCGGCGGCACCTGAAATACGACAGCAAGGCGGTCGGGGAGGAGGGTGGCCGGTCCCGCAGGGCCGCCAGCAGGTCGAACAGCGGCCGGAGCAACGCGGAGGGCCGACCGCGGTCCAGGACGCCGCCCCGGTCGCCGCACTACCGCACGTCAGAGGCGGAGCTGTTCGATTCGGGCGCTAGCGGGCCGCGAGGCGGGGAGGACGGGCGGCGCGGCGAGGACCTGCCTGCCAGCGCGCCCAACTTCCTGATGGCCAGCAGGACCAGCATATACGATACGAAGGACACGATCTTCGGGTGGGCGGCGCGCGAAGGATGTGGTGCGATTGTTTTTTGGGGAGTAGTTTGCGAACCCGACGGGCTGCATTTGCCCTGGTGGAGAAAAGTTGCGGCCTCGCGTTTGCTGACGCGATGTCATTCTTTGAGGGGATGGGCGCCGAGCGTGTTCTAAGGGCTGCCAACACATGGCTTGTTTGTGGATTCTCCTGGTGATGCCTCATCTGGCCAGATTGGCCCTCATTGTGGGCGAAGCACAGTAATGTTGCCGGAGTGTTGCGTTCCCTGGTCTTGAGGCACACTGACCCCGCACACTCACGCTGTTTTGCAGGTCTATGTATGATATTGTCATCCCTCCCTCGCCTCTGGATGTGCAAGAGTCACAGTGCGCCGCGCAGGAGGAGGTAGAGGAACCCATGAAGAGCAGGTTCAGCTGCATGCCAGGGAAGTCGATGAGCAGGAAGCAGGGCAAGCGGAGTCCCCTGAAGTGGTTCGTGTGTGGAGGGGCCAGGATCCTCAGTGAACCACCGGCAGCCAGGTCGCTTGACAGATCGCTGACCACAGGTGGGAAAGTTTTCCGAAGTCTTCCCCACTTTTCGTGTTCTTGTCGATTTCTTGTCCCAGACCTCCCAGGAAGCTGAAGAACAATCTCGTTGCCTATCTTCTTCTGCAGGCTGAATGTTGTGACACCCTTGTTTTGCAGTTGGAAGTGCTGAGCTGTCCCAAGCTGCGAACAGCCGTAATAGGGACTTGTACAAACAGCGTCACGCTGTCCTCCGCACGAGGATGGAAGCCGCCTTGAGCGACCAGAACAAGGGCAAACCCACGGGCATCGTGAGGGGCATAAGTGACGACTACACCCTCAGGGCAGGGCACCCGATGCAGGGCCAGGACCTGGACACTGCCTTCAGTGGCGTCATCCCAGGCAGCCCTTACGCAGGCAGTGTCAGGGGAACTGGTAGGACTGTGTCGATCCAGCGGGGCCAGGCAGGCACAATGGGCCGTGGTTGAGCACTGTGGCCTTCATGTGGAGGTGATCTGCGTAAGGTGTTCAAGTCGTGTGAGTCCTTGCCAGGGACTCAGCAGCTGGGCGGCTAGCACAACTCCGGAGTGTGTGCGATGTGGAAGGCCGGGTGAGATTTGGCTAGTGGTAGGATAAAGCGCCAGTGTGAGAGGCATGACGACCCGAGTCTCGCCGCCTGTTAATTGGTTTTGGAATAGCTTAAGAACTCAACTTGGCCAGCAGTGTGTGTAAGTTCCTTGTGAAGCTGTGAGCCGAGCAGCGCGGGTGGAGTGGTTGTACTACGTTTGACGGGTTGCTGGCGGCGGCCACAGTGTGCGGGGGGGGAGGGGGATGGTAGCTTTTGTCGCGTTGTAATTCTTTTCCATCAGGGCTATTATTTGGCAGTGAGGCTGTTCGGGTGCTTACCGACGATGTACCCACACGAATAAAGAATGTGCTGATAGGGCGGAGTTCACAGTCGTCACGGCGAGCTGGGCAGGTGGAGCGACACTTGCTGGCCACTGGGCCACGGGGCACTGGCAGGCCGCCTGTTGTGCATCCTATTGGACAGTTTGTTTTGCGCTTGAAGCCCGATGGGCAATTGGACCGTGTTTTGGAGAGGAGCCGCTGGTGCTGGGCCACAGGGGGATGAATTGGGACGAGTGTGGTCGCAGTGTTGTGGGCGGGGTAGGCTGTGGGAACCCAGTCGTGGGGCGCACTGCGGCTGTGCCCGCGCCTTTGGGGTGCCGAGGGCGCTCCCAGCGAGCCTTTGCAGACTCCTCAATTGTGCAATAAATGTACCGGGAGAGGGCACGTCAGAAGGGCCCGAGGTTTGCTCGTGGAGCCGGGTGCTCCGAGTTATGACCCGCGAAAGGGAAAATGCTTGGCCCAATAGGTTTTGACGGAGGGGCGATCACCCATGTTTAACGAGGCAGCGTCACTTCAGTTTACCGCTTTGATGTATGTACTTTTACTTGCGGCGCTGCAGCCGACGCCTAGCCCTCGCTGTCCAGACTCTGCGGTTCGTCACATTCTTGGATAAGCGCACGCGCGCGCCCGGTTGGTTGTGGCCCCAACTGGCGGGTGGCGGGCGCGGAGTTTGTGTGTTCGGACACTGCCTGGGGCAGCGAGAGAATTGCCACATGCCTCGTGGAGTCGTCAGCACACCTTCCGTTGAGGGCTTTCGGCCGCGAGTCGGTGTCACCGACAAAACCGGGTGGATACCATGTGTAACTGTAATGCCCGAGCGGGAATGTTGCCTTGCAGTGGCTGCGCGCAACCCTGTTCGACGAGCTCCTTAGCTCTCCCATGTGTGCCACGTTTCAACTCCCAGTTTTTTGTACTAGGGCAGTTGGTGTGGTTGTTAAGTGGACATGTCGGTGGGATAGCAGGAGTCCCATTCACTTGCGCTCAGCTCAACTATCTGGTTGAACAGTCGCCATGCGTGTGCAGCTCATGAAGGGCCAGAGTTGCGCGGAAGCAAAACATCCACACTGCGGGTTGGCCACCCTTGCAGGACAACATCATAAAGAAAGAAACAGTCTGAATGTTGAGGCATGATATGCACACCTTGGGAGTGAGAATGTTGGAATGGTGGAAAGGAGGCCAGGCCTAGCTGTAGGAGTTACCCGTGTGCCCAACAAGATTCATTCCCGTTGATCATTTCTCCGAAAGCATCAGTCTTTCTGCGATGGTCAGGGAGATACCGGGAGATACTGGGTGGGCCTGTCTGGCTGGGGCCATCTGGACCGTCTGTGGCTGACGCACGGTGACGTATGCCCTGGGGATTAATGTGACACACGTGGATTACGTCAGAATATGCAATATCGTGTTTGAGATTCTCGAAACACACACGGGCCTCGGGTCTCTTGTGGTTATGTTTCCAAACGAGCCCAGGCAGGTGTCCACAGAGCCGTCGTCCTCACTTCCCTCACTTGATGAGATGTCAAGACACGCCTGTGCACAGAAGTGCCACGTTCGACACCAGGGAATCTTACAAAGAGACCAACATTCATTCGTTTGTTCTTCCAATCCCTCGATGCCATAGTACCAGCAAAAACTTGCGTCAATGCCAGGCCATCACGAATAGACCCAGCAAACTCTCCATCTGAGGCCATAGCTGATGCAAACACACTGCAGCTGAGTCCGCAACGTGTTGACACACCCACGCCATAGTGCAGAGAAATCTATCCGGCATTTGAAACCAGTTGTGTGGTGGAGCCCACACTGCCACCAAAGCCAGACTGTCATCAGGGTGGGGGAAATGTCTACAAACAGTCCACCACCCCCAATCCGAACCACAAGACACGAATGAAATCACATGAACAGTCGACTAATCCATCGAGCGCCCAGAATCCAAGTCACAAGACGTGAATGAAAGCATATCAACAATCCACAAGGGGGTGCTGATGCCCAGGAGACCACTAGGCATCGCCTGAGCCCCACAGCCGTTCTAATCCATTGAGCACAGTCCATCAGTCGTGGCCTGTGTGCTTGCCTCCCTCTTTCGCAGTGCTTCATCACAGTCATCCCACTCAGCATCCGACGCCTGGGGATCGCACATGCAGGCAGCCTCATCTGGCGTCAGCTCCACACTGGTCGCCTTCACCAGCGCATCCAGCACCTTGCCCTTCCTTCCAACGATGGCAACAGGGATTACGTCGTCGCCTTGGAAGTGGACCCATGCCATGCAAGCCGTGGGCACATCAATGCCGCGAGCCTTTGCCACGTCCCTGATCCTGCCAGCAATCGTCAGCGCTGTCTTTGTGGGGTCACTGCCTGGGCAAGTGGGCTGCTCTGATAGAGTTTCAGCTGTGCATGCCCCCAAGGCACTATCCTTGCCTGGCAGGGAGGACCCCCATCCCAATGCAGATCTGGCAGCCTGCTCCAACTGCTTGTTTCTCCTCTTCACAACCATCTCAACCTCAGCAAGGAAGCCCGCAGCCTGCTTCTTCATCATCTGGGTCAGCACCACTTTCATACGCTGTGCTCCAGCCCCCTTGTTGATCAGGGCATTGACCCGCACAGTCAGCTTCTCGTTCTGCAAGCTCAACTTCTTCCTGAGGCAGGGCGCCACAGGGGCAGCCCCTTTGCCAATGAACGCCCCGATTTTCTTGGTCACCTGGCGAACCTGCTTCTGCAGGAACGACTCCACCTGTACAGCGACCCTGATGCGCTGCTCTTCCATTGTCCTCTGTGCGCATGTGGCCATCCTCTGCCTTTGTCGGTCCTGCTTCTGAATAACCCTTGCAAGAAAGCGGCAGCTCTGGTTGCCAAGCACCTTTCCGGCCTTCTTCACTGCCGGCGATGCCTTTCCCAGGTGGCCACGCAGCATGGACACCATTCTGTCAGCCTGGTTCCTGCGGATCGGAGTCACCCTTGTGACAAAGACGTGCTGTTGGTGCGACTGAATCTTGGCCAGCTTCTCCAGAAACTCGCTGCCTGGCAGGCCAGACAAGTTGTCCACCCGTTTGTCAAACACCTCAAGCTGCTTGTCCAAGAGCTTGTTGATGCGCTTGGACGCGAGATCCTTCTGCTTTGCTGCAAGAGATGCCAACTGCAAGGCTGCTGGGCCCTCCTGGTCAGGGAGAAGCTGCTTCACCTTCGTGACCAGCCCCTTAGCCTGCCTGTCCAATATGGCGTTCACCAGGTCTTGCATCTTGTCAGCTTGGATGCCCGCGATTCTCTTCACACGCATGGCCAGGACAGCAGCAGACCGGTCCCTGATGGCCTCCAGCCTCTTCAGCACCTTGGACTGGGAAGCTTCCAGGACTTTCTTCGCCTTCTCACTGCAGGGAAATAGTGAACAGCCTTGTCAGGCCAGCCACAAGTGGACAAAATATGACATGCAGTCAGTGTAACGCTGCCCAGGTTCTGAGCTGGTTGAAAGGGAACAAATATGTCACCCTGTCCACAGGAAATCTATTCCAGTACGGTCACACCAGCACTGGAGGCTTTTGCTGGTTGTGATTAATGTCAGCTGAGGACTAAGATCAGATATGCCAAAGGATCGTGACAGTGGCTATTTCAATGAACTTTATCAATCAAGATCCCATTTGTTCTTTCTTTGCAGGTCTACCTGCAAAAGGCATAGAACGTCCGAGGTCGCGCCAGCCATCCGCACTTACCCGGCAGCAGCGCTGTTCAGGAGCCGAGCAGCACTGATGCGACCACCAGGCCGGCATGCCAAGAGGCTGGCCCCGAGTTCGCGGCACACAGCCACGACGCTGCCCTTGCTGTCCACAGGCCTCCATGCAGACCAATGGAAAGATACGGCAGAGATTGGCTGTATGGAATGCGCCTTGCTGAGGGTGTCTCCATCCACCGCAGCCAGGCCAACAGCCCTGACCTTGCCTGAGTCCGCAAGAGCCTGCAACATGAATGATCATCAACTCCCAATACCAACTGTAAAACTACGAAAAGCGCAAAAGCAGGACCGTGGACCCTGGTCGTCGCTACTGCTCTTTAGGTTGTACGGAGTAGCAACATTGTGGTGCGTTCTATCTCCATCCCACGCCACCAACTCCGCAACATGTCCACGTCCTGTGCGCTGATGGCATGGCAATCCTGTACACCTGAGACCAGGGGAAAAGAACGGACAAATACGTGTGTCTGTTCCGGCCGGCGCAGGCCTGGGACGTGCTACTGCAACTGCCAGACCATAAAATCCAACCAGACTGTCAGACGTCTGCAGGCCGTGCCCCCGCGCCATGCAAGCCCACCTTCAGCGCCTCCGCAGTGGCTTCGATGGGCGTCTCGGGATCGGGCAGCTCCTGGTACACGAGGTCGAAGTGGCCTCCGTCCATGCCCAGTTTCTCCAGACCCGCCTCGCATGCCTGGCGGACGCTGGCCGCCGTGGAGTCAGGCACCAAGCGGCCGTCCTCGCGGCGGGCTCCGAAGCGCAGGGCCAGCACCAGCTCCTCCCTCCTGCTGCGGATGACCTCAACTGGCGGACAACAGCAGAGGAGAGCGTGAGATGTCAGGTCCGGCGCGGGACGGCTCATTGTCAGTCCATCCTGGGGGTTAAAACGGAGAGGGGTGCTGCGGGGGTGTGGGGTTGGGGTATCGAAACCATTTGGGATGGGGTGCCAAGTAGAAAAGCGACTGGCCTTGGGCCCTTCGGCTTGAGAACAAAGATGGAGGTGCGCGCGATGTGCACCGCTGCGCGATTCTCGGCCGGCAGCAGCACGGCGACGGTTCACGAGCAGCGCCCTGTGGGTCAGGGCGCGAGATCGTTGGACGCTCAGAAGGCGGCACAGCACGGGGACGCGCGGCGTGAGCTGAAGGCGCACGAGGGGGCGCGACAGATGACGACGCCCGCAGTTAGGCAGGCATCAGGAAGGCCGGCGCCAGCGGGCGCGCGGCGGGGCCCAAGGGAACAAACAGTCATCGTCGGCAAGACTGCGCAGCCATCATGGCGCTCAACCGTCCAACCAACATCGTCGCGACACCGTCGGACGCCTTGGAGCATCCAGGTGGTCCCGCAGGCGCCGAAGTTGCGACGCACCGCGGCACAAGCACCGATCACCAGCCCAGAACAACCGCAGCCGCGACACCACATTCTGGATCCAGAGCAGGCCGCGCTCGCCACAGTCGGCCGCCCGGCCCACTCACCGGCGTCCTTAACGCCCAGGATGTCCGTCACGTCGAAGAAGTTGATCCCCCTCTCCAGCGCCAGCCGCAGAACCCGCGTGACGCCCCCGGCGCCCTTGCCGCGGCGCCGGAGGCCCGAGCGGGGCGACAGGCGCACCATGTGCGGCGGCACGGCCACGCCGCTGGCGCCGAGGCAACGCGTCGCGCACACGGCCATCTGCGAGCGGGCTTCCGTTGGGCAAGGGAGGGCTCTGGAGGCGGGGGGCCGACGAGGACGGGGGCGCACAAGTCGGTGCTTGCGCTTGTGCTCGGGATAAGTTTTTCTTGGGGGTGTGCAAGAGGAAAAGGCGGAAATTCTGTGGTGCGCTGCGTTTTTATGCTGCGCAGAATACCCGCGGGCGCCCCCAGGGCGGTACAGGGGCGCCCCGCCGCCGTACATGCGAGCGAGGGTGCCTTCAGGGCCGGTGTCAGGTGACCGGCGGCGGGCGGGGCAAGGGGAGCCGCGCTGAAGTTGGCCAGAGCCAGGCCGCGGCACGCGCACGTGAGCGCCATGCCTGCTGCGGGCAGGGTCGCACGCACTCCGAGAGGGAGGACGTCAGCACGCCGGCTGCCCGGCGCGGAATCAGAAGCCTCGACCTGGCTGCGCGACCGACTGTTTGCGCGGCGCGGGTCCGCCCTGGACCTCCGAAAACTCTCACGGCAATTCTTGTGGCAAGCTGCAGCGCTTGTTGGCAGTCTGCTTGGAGGTGCCCGCGGCGTCGTTGTCGCGGGGACACCCCGGTGTAAAGAAGTGCCGGGCCTGGCGCCAGCCCGACCCTGTGCCGGCCCGGCGCGTGAACCTTTTCTGATCCCCGCCATCGTCGAGGCGCAGGATGCAGGGCGATGAGCAAGTCTGCCACCAGCCTTCGACGGGCACTTCGCCCCGCACAAGGGGTTCAACAAATGTTTCCCAGGCAAACGAATGGTGGAGTGCTGCAACTGCGTTGTCAGTAGGATTCAGCACAGGAGGCAACCACCGGTCCAAGTTTGGCCCCTGTCTTGCTCGCCGTTCGTGCTGCCGTTCAGCTCGTTTGACATCGTTAGGAGCAGCAGTTGTCTTTCCGACGACCTGCGGGGATGGTCCCTTTGCAGCTTGCCGCGCAGAAACGTGGCACAGGGTCGGGCCACAGCCAAGGGCTTCCAAAGTCGACCAAATCTACCTGTCTGCGTGGGCCAGTCCTGGGCATAGTTGCACAATGTACTGTCAGTACATTGCGATACTTGTGCCCTTCACGCAGCCACAGCTCCCGAAAACCCTGTTCTGTCCACCCCGCCCACGACTGTGCGCCTCGACCCTGCGCCTCTGGGGCACACAGACGGTGCTGGTGTCCGGGTCGTGCTGTCGTCTTTTCCATTCCAAAATTGGCCTTTTGCTGCAGTCTTTTTCCCGAACTGGGGCGTCCTCCTCCAGGAAAGCGGCCATTTTTGCGAGCGAGCGGAGCTTTATTCTGCCGTCTTTTTTCTGCGTCTGGGGCACCGTTCTGTTAGTCAGAGTCAGTGTGCCTCGGACCCCCCGTGCGCGACAGGACTTCGCCCCCGACACACTTGCCCCTTCCCAACCCAGCCCCCGGAAGCTATGGCCCAGCCCGCCAAGACCGAGGAGCCGGCCACGTTCGTGGACTACCAGGGCATCACCCGAGTCCGGGGCGCCGAGTACGTGCTGCCCATCTGCGTCGGCACCGTGGGCTTCTGGCTGGGCAAGAAGGCCTCTGAGGAGAAGTCCCACCGCTGGACGGTGTACGTGCGGGGCCCGCGCGGCATGGACATATCCCACGCCGTGCACAGCGTCACATTCCGCCTGCACCCGTCCTTCACGGACCCGGAGCGCGTGCTCACCTCCGCCCCCTTCGAGCTGACGGAGATGGGGTGGGGGGAGTTCGACATCGTGGTGGTGGTGCGCTTCTCGCTGGACTCGCACGGCGGAGAGGTGGGGCGACGCGGCTGATTGCCGGCACGCGGTCGGCGCTGTGGTCCATTCGCTGAGTCGCGGACTTTGCGTTGCAAAATGGCAATCTCCGGCAGCAACCGGTGCGACCCAATCCCCCGAACCAAAAACGTACTGGCGAGTCCACTGTTCCGGCAGGGAGCGCTCTGCGTTGGTGTAGAGCCCCGGTTGCCAATGCGTTGCAAATGCTGTCCTTGTGAAAGCAAGGCGAGTTCAGTAATGGTGCCATCAACACTGTTTGTTAGTCATTCGTTGTCCATAGTTTGCTTGTAACGGAAATAGATAAATATTGGAAACAGTGCTTGGTTGCATCTTTGCGTCCATCATCGCCTCCAAGGCTTAAGAGCTGTGTTGTTGTCGTGTGTGGTCAGATGTAGTTAGGCAAACTCATCCATCATATTGGTTATCGTGTTGGCAGTCCCCTAAAAAGGAATTAGGAATGGTTGGTCAATATAGCCGCACGCAGAGAAGAGATGTCGTGCGAGTGGCAACCTTACTGTCAGTGCCATGGAAACATAACTTTGCAGCATGAAAGGAGCGTCAACCCAAGCTCCCATTCCTCTCCAACCCTGCCCCTATTCCACCCCACACTCACCACCCCTTTCAAGGTTAAGAAGATGGGTAGCATTATTGTGGCACGATTGAGAAGCGTGCCTAACCCAGAACTGGTCCTACGCTCGCCAAAAATACAGTACAGATACAACTGTGGATTGTTTTCTTGACTTAGATCACTGGATGGAACCAATACTTGCAATTCGTTGTCATATCTGATCCACCACCCACACCCAGTTCCCACCTATTGCCACTGCTCTTCCACAAGACTGATTGATTCACTTTCATACCATCTATGGCTTGGGATTTTCATAGTCTTGCACTTTCCTATCAGGTTGTGTGTGTGTGTGAATTCTGTTGGTCACAATTGTCCAAACCATGTGACAACAAGGCCGTGGCACCTTGAGAGGCGATGGCAGGCACAGCAGCAACCAAGCAATGTTTGTTCAGTGTGCACATGTGTGTGCTTTTGTCTCACTTGAGAGGAGGCACAAAGCTCACATCTCATCTATTTGGATGGCAGCAGTGCACCTGGCTTGTGAGAGTGCTGCTATATATTGGAATGGAAAGACACATGTTGCTCCAATGATTGTCAGGATAGAAGAGTCCAAATCTTCGATAGCTCTTGCAGAGCATTGCCAGAAAGCTGGCAGCGTGTGAGCTACTACTGGATGAAAGCTGTGTCCACAAACAGAACATTGGTAAAAACACTGAATCATTTAGTAGCATTGCACACATCCAAACGGTTGATTGGGTTCGTCGTGTGTGCTGGAAAAATGGCTCGCAAAAGGGGATCAGCGCTCAAGAGTTCCTGCAAAAGTGAATGTTCCATTGGAAGAATGGAGCACACTGCACTGTGTACAGCTTCAGGACACCACACATGTGGGATGCAGTTGTGTGCAATTTGATAAGATTGAGGTTCAATGTTGAATAGCGCTGTGCCTCCATCCCACACCCATGTGGGCTGAAGTCTGGAATTTCGTATCCTCACTGGGGCTAGCAATGCCCATCTGACACCAAAGAAAGCGATGGTAAATGGATGTGTGTGAATGCATGGGTTGACATTCTTGCCCACTGGGTTGTACCATGTCGTCATCCTGTCCAGATCGAAATGACACGACGACTGAAACTGTACTCCGAAGAGAACTCCACTCAGAGCACAAAGAAGCCAGTGATAAGGGAGCAGTACGAGGAGATTGTCTTCAGTGAGCCGCCTGTCGACTTCTACAAGCGCGTGACCAGTATGAAGGTGGGCTCTGCACCTGAGAGCGAAATCACCCCACACCTGCCACAGTACGACGAGCAGCACGACCTAGAGAAGATCCGGGCTGCCAGGATGCGGGTGGCGTCGTCCCTGAAGAAGAAGCTGGAGGGGAAGGCAGCAGGGCGGTGACAGCACCATGTGGTCCCAGGGGCACCTCCAGCCACGCTGATTGTCTTCACAGCACTGCATGTTGTGGTGCTTGGCAACTGGCAGTGGCACGCTGTGCCGATGCGGAGCTCGGGCAGTTGTCTGTGGTCTTTGATGCTCAAGGCTGCAACGCAGTTGATCTGCCCTCGATTGGGAACTGCACTGTGCCCTCTCACCGCCAGGGTGGTTGAATTGTGGGTGTGCAGTCACAAACAATTTCAATGCAGGGAAAGCAACCTCTCTGAGGTCAGGAGCTCGACAGTTGCGTTGGGGTTGTTCCACGTCAAGTAGGTTTGTGGATTGTTGCTGCACAGAGTGACATGCAAGACTGGGTGGACATCACATGCACTTTAGAGTTACCCATTTGCCATGCATCAAGCTGTGGTGTCTATGGTGGTCTTCAAGCCACGAGCATACTCCAGTCATGCATTGATGTGTCATACATCGAGATTATTTAGAGCGCTTCTGGAGAGGAACAGCTCCACATCTGGTAGTACGTGCTGAAACAGGCAGGCAGCTGCCTGAGTTTTGGGTCTCGCAGATTGCAGGCTGCTGGCCCATTCATTCAGTGAGGAACACATTATGGACGATAAGGTGGTTGGCAAATGAACACTTCTTCCTGACAGTAGCACCTTCGCAGAGGCGAGAGGAATGGTGTGCCACAGCGAAAATGAGAAGTGTTGGAGGCGCCCCCCACCCTGCGACATTCTACAGAGGTGGTTGGATGCGTGGTAGTGCGAGTGCGTTTGCATCCCATCTGTCTTCAGACCTCACATCCGGACCCTCCAAAACTGCAAAGGCAGTTAGGGTTGGCTTCTGGCCTTGGGCATCTAAAAACCCTGGACACCAAAGCTGTCTTTGAGATTCTGGGCCGTATGTGGTCGCTGAAGTGAGGGATTTGGTGGGCAGCAATGTGTGGTTTGGGTTGCACTGTGGCAAGAGTAACCCAACTCCAATTGAAATATTGGGAGATGCAGCTCAAGTGTACTTTGCTTGGTACTTTTCCATCGGGCGCAGCTATGTTTGCCATTATCAGGTGCTGCGAGCGAGTGTAAAGACAGCGTTGGGCCATTGCTGCACACGTGCATGCACTGATCCTGATTGCTCGTGCGGTGCGCATTGTGTTCTCGTGGATCTAGAAGTTTGCCCTTCGGCCTCGGTTGCATTCATGCAACAATAATTGATCAGCAGCGTGTAGATCACGAAATCGAAAACGCTTATTTGAGAACGATGCATGAGGGTACTAGACAACGCAGTCAGTTCCAAAATACATGAGTGCTGAAAGACTGCATAGAGTGAGGATCACTCACTTTCTGATTACTGAGAAAATAGGTTGAGAATCCATGGCTGAAAGGCCCCATACTTTTCTGGATGAATAGCGCCCTTGCCTTCGTCATAGAAGGAATGCCAATGCTGTACGGCAAGAAGACTCCAGGAAAGATGGAGCACCTATGGCTACGGCCCTTTCTTGACACTTTGTTACCTGGGGAGTATTTCTGAGATATGTTAGAGATAGCCTTTTGACTAGGCTTTCGGCAGTACTACTGCCATTTGAAATATTCCATCATTGGGATAATCCAAATGCCAATGGTATTGCCCAAAGGGTCATCAAATTCATGCGTGTCTAGCCAACAAGAAGCAATGACAGAGGGAATGGGTGTACAATTTCGCTCTTGCGTTGAGCTGTAGCATGTTCCCAGGGCAGCTATACACCCGCTAGGCAACCAGTAAGTGTTGTTCCATGGCTGTGCAGCAAAGCCTTGGAACTAAGCAATCCAAATGCCTGTGTGAGTTTAGAACAAGTTGGTGCGCTGTGTTGGATGCCCATACCTGGCAATGAACCACATGTATGTTGCAAAGAGCGCCCAAATGGACAGGATGCAAGTACATTCATTGAAGCATATAGGCGCGGCTGAACATTAATTCTATAGGCGTACACTTCCCGTGGGTAGTAACTGCTATACGCCAAAAAGGAAGCATGGCATGCAAACGGCACCCCCTCCAAAACGAGTGTGTGTGAGATTCTGTGTTATACGGTACAACGATGGTGCAGAGTCTCCCAAGCACATACGCACACAACAAAAGCACCGCGAAGAGCAAGGGGACAATGCTCCCACGGTGGCTGGGAGCTGCATGTCATCCGTCCATTCCAGGATCCTGGAATACAACTTGGATGACACAACGAGAAAATCCGGGTACAATTGGCGAGTCCTGACGTATGAGACAAATGCGGAGCGCATTTCGAGCGCCTGCATGAGATGGTACCTAGCACCGATGCCCAAAAAGTACATTGGATTGCTGGAACGGGTGCTATGTTCTCCCCCCCACCCCACACCACCCCTCCACCACCCACACCACCAGGTTTGTTAGTTGCGTTTACGTTTCTACGTTTACGTTTTTATACACAGAAACGTAAAGCTGCAAAAGGGGATATTTTACGGCTTATTTGCGTTTTTGCCGCTTGTTGTGACACCCAGGCTACACGATGAAATTCGCGCACAATGATCAATCTTCCGGCCCCTCAAGCACGCGCCGCACAGCGTCCACCTCGCCCTCGGACAGAGCAACGATAGCATGGAAACAACACTTCGTCCTCTACCGATTCCAGGGCATCTGGCTGTCGCTCCTTTGACTCCCTAAGTCTGCATGTACTATCCTGATTTGCACGGGGCTGTATTTACGTTGTATTTACGTATTTTCACGCGCTTTTACGCGTTTCCTCCGTCCCAAATTAAATTGCAGTTATGATCTATGGCCCTGGAAGACCCACTAAAACGTATCGTAATTTCAAAAAAAATTGTCAGCATGTCTCAATTTATGCCTAGTTTGTGATACCAAATTGTTGGGTTAATTGGTTAAGTGATCAATTCGAAGTGCTATTTTGAACAGACTCCACTTTTCTGGAAATACCCCAGTTTGTCAAGGTGGCACCGAAACCGCCTGTTTCCTGGCCCTGGGACCTGCCACTTTGCGGTGATTCTCTCCAAGCGAAACGACAAGAGTTGGAGAAGCGCTTTTTACTGTAGGACAGAGCAGAGATGCAGAGGCAGAGGGCAGACTCTCAGTGCATTCCGGAAATACGTGATCAAGGATCTCGCCTGTAGGTTCGAGACTACGTGCCGAATTATTGAGACCATCGGTAAGCCGTTCCGATATGTAATCAGCAATCTCGCCGGAATGATCTTGTCCCATATATGGCAAGGGACCCGTGGATGTACCAAGACATGGCGGGAGCAGTTTGCAGCAAAAGCTGAAAAGGCTGCGGTGCACAACCAGCACACAATTCGGGAAACGGCGATTAAGGCAAAAGACAGGCATGATCCTCAATCATGCCTTTCAAGACGAGCTGGCGGCCTGCCCTTTGCTTTTGCATCTCTCCTCAAACCTGCAATCTGAAACACGTCTTGAAGTCTCGTCACTTTACAAGATTGGGGACAACAAAAGGGGATATGTTCCACGACCCGAAAACGGGCTATTTGTTAGCCACCTTGAAATGCTTGACTGAGTGACGTATGTTCGCGCGATGACACTACGGACTGGATGCTCGTCCAATCAACACAAAATTTTTGGAGCACAAACTTGACTTAAATTGAAACATTGTCATGAAATTATATGAAAATATGACATGTTTTGATAGGTTTTCCAGGCCCACGTTTCATAACTGCCATGTAATTTGGGACAGAGGAAGTAAAAGCTATTTTCACGCGTAACAACGTAGATACGATCTGTGTTTACGGCGTAACTCGCAACCTTGCACACCACCAACACTCTCTCACAAGCTGCCAGCGCCCGAATGTGCTACAAACCTGTGAACCTAAAAGCTGTTTGTGGAAGCCGGGGCTGCCGACGCGGCGATCATCAATGCTGGATGGTTTACGGAAAGGGCCAATGGGCCCAGGCTAACCTGTTGCTGGCAAGCATTATGGCAGTGGAGGTGGGCGACAACAGATGACTTGCAGTGGGGCCACCTGTGGCGAATGGCGAAGTGCGTGCTCGACCAACGTTACGGCAACTATTGAACCTCTGTCGCCGAAGTGCAGGACGACTCAATTGTAGAGGAGCCGAAAATCGAGGTGGATTTTGCATGTTCGCTGAAGTGTGCGTGTGAATTTGCACGCAAATGATTTAAATAATTTGAGAGTTGTGGCGAGGAAGGAGTAGTGAAGAAACTGAGAGCAACATCAGCAAAACTCGAGCAGATTTAAGTTGGTTGAATTTGCAGATCTCGCCTCAGCACTTGTGATGCATGATTGTCATTCAGAAATCATATGCGTTGCATTCATTGGTCGTGAGCATGAGCAACAGGGTCAAAGGAGTCCGAGTGAGCAGATGCAGTGAAGCAAATGGAAGAAGTAGGAGGTTGACAACCGCAGTGACTTGATGGCGTGCTTTGCGCGAAAGAAAGTGGCGCATCGCCATTCGAAAGCAGCTGGGTGGCAGTCGCGAGAACTGCTAATGGCGAGCGAATCTGTTTGGACGTCGTGCATGGAAACATTTCAGCGTTTGTTGTGAAGTTTCCGAATTGCTCGTGACGGCCGTTCATTGAAGAACGTCTTGTTTATTATGTGGTTCTGGCCGCCAAATCATGGGGCAGCTGTGATTGAACATCCAAGAGCCAAGGTGGCACTGCCCGGGTGAATGGACCATGTGCTAACTACATAACGTTCAGTGTCCAAAACTATAGTTTGAGCACACAGAAATGTGTTTGATGTTTTCGCTCCTGGCAGGACATGGTCCAGCACTTTGTGTAGTGCGCCACTGCAGCCCATTAGCACATTTTCTGTGCATGCTTGACGAAAATAGCAGTTTGGAGCAACATATTGCAACTTCACACAAATTGCGCGCCCACATACCACTACACCACACAGCCGCATTACAAACTAACCCCAGTCTACACCTTTCTGACCTGGGCGTGTGTTGGAATTTTCACTTTTACACTCACGTCCTTGTACACTCTTTGGGTGGTTGTGGCCCCCATCAAG